CTGACCTTGCAGTTAGCAGCCCAACTCATCACCCACTATACCACCCGGACTCCACCCCCATGTGTGAGGAGGGGAAGATTCTTTACCAACCTCTAGAAGGTGTTATTTTGTTGTTACTGAAGCAGCAAGTGTGTGTTCAAATTTAACAGATCGGGTTGAGTGCATGGTAGGGAATAGAGAACACCCGTTGCATAAGAAGAGCATAAACTAGACCTTGATCTCAGGGCAGGGGTCCAGAAAACCTGTATGGGGCCTGGGAAGGATGAGCTTCCTCAGCAACTGCTGCAGCAAAGTTTTGGTCAAAGCCAAGGTCATGGCTGCATCCCCCTACTCACCACCTAACGGAGCAGTGGCTCAGTTAGGCAGTAGTAAGAGGCTGACATCCTGGTGAGTGAGACCCATCTTGCAAGAGGGGAAATTTGCCTATTTCTAAGCCAATGAGGATAAGTAAATATTTCATAACTTTTGACTAAATTGTAGTCTATTTCTAGATTTCCCCAAGGTCTTTCTCCTTCCCTCAAGCAGTCATTACTTTGCACTTAAAGTTTAGACAGTGTAGCCGTATATGTATCTATTCCACAAAAAGAAGTAGGCTGGAGTTAAATTAGGGAATTACAAAACTAAGCACAGGAAGAGTATTCTTGCTTAATCGGAGCTTTTGCTACTTGTGGTGCACATGAGACTCAGACTTTCCTTGACAATTACTTGCGTTCTATTACAGGAATTAGGTTCTCGTCTTATCAAGAGAAAGGTAGACTTTGGAAGATATAGGGCAATGCAAAATAATTTTATTAGAAGCTCCTACAAGAGAGAAAAAGTTACCCAGCCAGCATGGCCAGAATCAGTTATTTTTTTTCCCCAGCTAGTGTATCATATTTTTAAAGGCTTTCCACACTCAGAAGATTCTGTGGATCTTCCATCATGTTAGCAGTGGGTTTGGGGAAATATAGTCCCTAAGGTGAGATATTGAAAAAACAAAAACAACAGTAGCCAAAAGAGATATTGAGAAAA